GCCGCTGCTGCGGGCGGCCTGGCGCTGGGGCTCCACCCGGGGGGCGCGCAGGGCGGCGCGGGCCTCCCCGCGCAGGCGGCTCTCTACGGACACCCGGTGTACAGTTACTCGGCGGCGGCGGCGGCGGCCGCGCTAGCTGGCCAGCACCCGGCGCTTTCCTACTCGTACCCTCAGGTGCAGGGGGCGCACCCTGCTCACCCTGCCGACCCCATCAAATTGGGTGCCGGCACCTTCCAGCTGGACCAGTGGCTGCGCGCATCTACCGCGGGCATGATCCTGCCCAAGATGCCGGACTTCAGCTGTGAGTACCTGCACCCGGCCAGTTCTCCTGCGCATCCTCCTTTCCCGCACCCCCTTCCTTTCTGCCCCAGGCTCCCGGCGAGCTGTGGGAGCGCAGCGAAGCCCTCACAGCTCATCTCTGGGCCTGTGAGGCCTCGCGTGGGCCGCGTGGCGTGAAAGGAGCAGCGAATTATTAAGATGGCCACGAGCAGGCCTTGCCTTCTCTTTCTCTTAACGGACAGGGGAGGTTGGAGGTGTGAGGCTGAAATCTAATGATTAACCTGCAGGCTGGAGAAGGAAGTACGCGGGAAGGCTAGTTAAAAAAAAAAAAAAAAGCCTCATTTGGGGCAGGTTTTAGGGTCACTGAAAGCGGGGACTTAGCACGGGGAACATGAACTTGGACAGGGGTTCCATAATAGGCTACAAAGAGACACATCACTGAGTTCATAGGTAGCTAAGGAAAAAATGGACTCCTAGAGTCATGGCTTTACAAGGCCAGGGCCCCAGCATTTCCCTGGTCCTTGTCAGGACCCTGCCTTCCTCAGAAGGGCGAGGGATGTATGTGTTGGAGGGGGGAGTTGTCCGTGCATGCAATGTCCAAGAGGTCTGTTTTGAACAGAAGGTAGCAGGGACGCTAAAGAGCAAGTGTCTGCCTGGGAGGTCCAGGTGTCCAGCATCTTCAGGGGCTCCTGTACAAGGTAGGAGCAAAGAAGGTCCAGTCTTCTACATCTTCTCTGCCACCCAGGAGGGACAACCTTTCAGGGGCCATTCCCGAACTCCCTGGCACATGCAGCCTATGTGCGGGGCACCCTGGCTCTGACTCCTGCCCTGTGCCTCACGTGGGCAGGGGCAAGCTGCCTTTCCATTCAGGATGATCCAAAGATGTATGTGTCTTTCCTCTGTCAGCCGCCCAACCCAAACAAAGAGACCCCATTGTTTCCGTCTGAGTGGGTTTGTTTAGACTGGGGAGATACAGGCACTGGAGGGAAAAAAGCGAAAAAAACCGAAAACAGAAATAAACATTTGCCAGAATTGAGATTCCTCTGCTAGAAGCAGTGGTTGTGACTAAACAGAGAAAGAGAGGCCCCAGAACCGCAGAAGTAGCAAGGTGGTGAGAGAATCCCAGCCCGCTCTCTTGTTTGCTCACAGCCACCCAGGCTTTCCCAGCTTGGCTCCCAGAAAGCCAGCCTTGGCTGTTAGTTGATTTCAACAAAGAGGGAAGGCTCCTATTAACCGCAGTTGGGCTGCAGCTCAGACATTAATGAAATTATTCCTATCCACTAAGTCCCGGGCAGCGTCTGAGCCTGGCTGTGGAACTCAGCAAGCCCCCTCAGGTGGAAACCTATCCACGAGTGTCCACTGTAGCTGCATTTCCCACACCTGAGAAGCATAGTGATCCAGAAAGGGGCTGGCTAGTGGTGACCAACAGGCCTCCATGGCTCGGGTTTCCCGCCATTCACATGCTCTCTGGTGGGGAAAGGATGTTTTCCTGGAGGCCATAATCACTAAAAATCCATGCAAGTGAGAAGCTTTTGCCAGCACACCCGGCCTATGGTGTCTCATGGTGGCTGCATTAAAATATGGCCAGTTCTACCTCAGGAAAAGGAAAGCAAGCCCCAGTGGACACCAAGGAATGCAGCAAAGAGTGGCCGAATGTGCTCTATTTCTGGGACTTCGCTCTCACCTGGGAAAACTAGCTTGGTCTCCTTTAATTGGTTGTTTCTAATAGATGGCATTTCCCAGATGATCCTTTCTGAGACAGTGTTTTAATTAGAGTTCTAATGTATTGTCAAGTTGGGAATTCGTCGCCTTGTTTAACTAAAGCAGGGGGCGTGGACCTTCCTATAAAGCAAATTGCCCGTCCCAGGGGAGCCTGAGCTCATCCCAGCCAGGGGCTGGCCTTTCTTTCCTTTGCTTTCTTTCTTTTATTGTCTAACACTCTTTGGGCTCCTGGGAAATCAAGGGAAGTTTCGTTTTGTGGTCATAAAATTCTCTGTGATGTAACCATGCGAAATTATGTAAATAAAACTGGACAGACCTCCTGGAACACACAGAAAGCCAGACCCACTCACAGCTCAACCTTTAATTTGAGTAATGAGAATCATCCGAACAGGCTTCCAGTCCTCAGCCTTTGCCCTCTGCACTAGGAGGAGGAGGAGGGAGTTTGTCAAGGCAGACGTACTGACACCCGGATGAATGCTTATTTAGGCTCAGTTTCTGTCCTTCTCCCCCTCCCCCCGCGGTCTACACGCCCCACACGTCTTTTCTCTTCTGCTTTAAGCCGGTGGTGGGACCAGGAGGATGGGTGCTTCTCCAGCTTGAGATGGGCTATTTGTTCTCTTGCCAGTCCAGCCCGGCTACCCAAGCCCTTAGACCAACCCTCTTCCTACCAGTGTTCGTTCAGGCTCTCTTTGATCGCGACCCTCAAAGGAAAGATTCCCTGTTGGAGACAATCTATTAGAGACAGGCCCTCCACTTCCACTCGGTGTCTGAGACATGGGTCCCGTGCTCGGTGGGGAGTAGACACTGATGTTGAGGAAGCCCGCTTCTGCAGGGTGGGCTCTGGAGCTGGACCCCGGGAGGGCAAGGGCAGCGAAGGGTGGAACCCGGCAGAAGACAGGCTCACACAGGCCTCCTGTCCCTTTCGGTCCACAGCCCAGGCGCAGTCGAACCTCCTGGGGAAGTGCAGACGGCCTCGCACCGCCTTCACCAGCCAGCAGCTGCTGGAGCTGGAGCACCAGTTCAAGCTCAACAAGTACCTGTCGCGGCCCAAGCGTTTTGAGGTGGCCACCTCCCTCATGCTCACCGAGACCCAGGTGCGCCTGACACCCCGCCCCCAGGGCAGCCTGTCCCCCCAAACCGCCCAGGCAGGTGCTGCTTTGGGGAACTGAGTCCCAGCTGCTTGACCTTTAGGTTGGGTGTTAACTCTCAGCAGGGGAAAGTCTAGGATGACCCAGAGCGTCTTTCTGCCGGGAGGCTGGATTCAGCGAGCTGAGGTGCAGGCTGAGAACCTGTCCTTAGCGAGCTGGTCTGGGGAAGGTGTTCGCTCAGGCCACATTCGAGGAGGTTCTTTTTTCTAGAAAGGAACGGACTTGAGAGTTTAGTGACGTGCCAACCGCCCTGGGGCCTTGGAGATGGAGGGCATAAAGCGTTCCCAGCAGGGGAGTCAGGAGCACCACGCCCGCGGGGTCCCTGGTAAATGAGGTAGATGTAGAGGCAAGGAGGTGGAGAAACAGCGGCCCAGCCAGCTGCTTAGTCCTCTAGGGAAGCCCCCTCTAGGGTAAGGGGGGCCGAGGGGGCAGGAGTCCCCGTGTGTTCTCACCCTCTGGATTCGTGGGGGTGCAGGTGGCCGGTTTCTCATGTCACCTTGACCTGCAGGTGAAGATTTGGTTCCAGAACCGCCGAATGAAATGGAAACGCAGCAAGAAAGCCAAAGAGCAGGCCGCGCAGGAGGCAGAGAAGCAGAAGGGCGGCGGAGGGGGCGCCGGCAAGGGCGGCGCTGAGGAGAAGGCCGAGGAGGAGCTGCTGGGGCCGCCAGGGGCGGGGGACAAGGCCGGCGGCCGGCGCCTGCGGGACTTGCGGGACAGTGACCCGGATGAGGACGAGGACGAGGACGAGGAGGACGACCGCTTTCCCTACAGCAACGGCGCGGGTGCCCACGCCGCGTCGTCCGACTGCTCGTCCGAGGACGACTCGCCTCCCCCGAGGCCAGGCGGCCCGGGGCACCAACCTCCACCCCAGTAGGTGGCTACACTACAGCAGGGACGCTCACGACGGCCACCCGGCTCTTCGGGGTTCTAACCCGGCCCGTGGCCTGCGGCCAGGCTGGCAGCCTCTCCTCTGACCGTGCATCCAGGTGCGGGCTGGGAAAGGGATCCTTTCTGGAGAGAGAGAGAGAGAGAGAGAGAGAGAGAGAGAGAGAGAGAGAGAGTCCAGTGCGAACTTTCGTTCTTTTACATTTAATTTCGGGTTGTGTTGGCCAGAGGTGTTTTGTGAGGAGAACGGACCCTTTTCTAGGAGCGGCTCCTGCCTGACTCTTCCTTCATCGGAGAAGGGAAAAAACGACAGTGTTAAGCGACCTAAAACTTGAAACCTCCTTTGGAGACAACCATTCTGCTGAGATTTGAAAACAGAAAAGAAAAGGTTTTATGCCTATGTATGGGGGTGGGGTGGGGTGTTATGTCACGATCATTCAGACTGCTGAAAAAAAAATCTCAGAATGGTAGTGTATTTTTGTATATTGTATTTATATATAAAGAAAGAAACGTCTACTTATGCATGCTAAATTATTATTTAGCTTCTCCATCCTCCAGGGTGGAGACGGAATGTAAAATAAATTGGTTTTGTACTGGATAAGAGTGGGGAAAAAAAACTTTAATTTTGAACCCAAGGCCTTGTGCAAGCTAAGCAAGTGCTCTGCACACCACCAGCCAGCCCAGAAGACACAAATCTTGCGCGGTCTGCCGGTTCGGGGCAGGGTGTCTATTATCAGCAAAGGGTAAAAATCGGAATGGCAAGTGGGTGTCAGGACCACCTCTGTGCCTGGCCCTGAAGACCGAACCTGACTGGATTCCGGAGGCTGAAAGTGCAGGCGCTGGTGGGGGCGCAGGTGTGAAATGTTGCTAAAAATACCCAAGGCCAGGTGTCAGAGCTAGCTAGCCGCGCCCGGTGTCAGCCCTGCGCAGCGCGGGACTCTTAGCTGAATGGTTCTGAGCAGTTTGTTTCCCGTTTACTTGCTGGATCCTTTAGCTTCGTTGGCTGTGTGTAACATAGTATTTGAATGTTTCGGAAAATAAGCTGCCAACATCTAGGTGTTAGTGGCATTTGGGGTCCTAGCGGTCGCCGGCGCTAAGCAAGCACTTTTCCGAGAAAAGTGCTTAATGGCCCCATGAAACGCGTTCTACTTTTGACCCGGCCCCCTCCGCCAGCACTATGTCCCTTGTGCTAGCCAGGAACAGTTTTGTTGGATCTGTATGTCTTCTGAGAGAATGGCGGCGGGAGGCAAGAATGCTCCACGCCAGGGCTGCAACCGCTCTGGGTTAATAAACCTCTGCAGCGAACGCCATCAATCTTCCAGCCCCTGGACCATGTGCGGCACACATGCGGGACCCAGCCCTAGGCGCGCTGGGCCTCTGCGTCCGGACTCCCGGCCAGAGGCCGTGGGCCCACCGGCTCCGGTTCGTCCCCAGCTCCCCATTCCCCCTTGGCTGTCTTAGAGGCCGGCCTCCAACCGAGGCCAGCTGAGGAGAGACCCCTCACAGCCACCCCACCCCCCTTGTGCCGGCCTTCTGTCACCTTCTCTCCCACCCCTGGGTGAGAGCGAGCAGCCCCCTCCCATTGCTTCTGCCCTCCCTTCCTCCCTCCCTCTCAATCGCTGAGAGTTCAGAAGGGCCCGGAGTTTCATTTGGGTGATTACAGCGGGGCCAGCGGGCCACGCCTCCATCTCAGAGCCGAGCCAGATTAATATCCTCCTGGCAGCTCATTATCACCCCGGGCTCCTTCCGTAAAATCCAAGCGGGTCTAGGCGGGGCGTGGGGCTGGAAACCAGGCGAAGCAGCTGCCGAGATCGGTGCGCGCCCGCGAATCTTAGCAGCTTTCCCATCCAAAGGCGCTTTGGGGCGAATCCGGACTAGGTTTACAACTGTCTGAGAAAGTAAAGGGCTGGATGAAAGAAAATGGGGAAATCTGAGAGGAATGGAGGGAGGGAGGGAGAAAGGGAGGGAGAGAGGGAGGAAGGAAGAGAGAGAGAGAGAAGGGGGAGGGAGGGAGAGAGACAGAGACTTGGGGAGAAGAGAGACAGACAGAAGCACACAGAGAGAACCAAACGCCCCTTTTCTTCTTTTTAAAATATGTATGTGTCTCTTTTTAATCTCTAACACATTGGCCAGGTTCAGCCTGCAGCAATCTCTTCGCAGGCTTGCGAACATCTGGGGGTTATTTTCCCTCTGAGGATGGCCTTCCCAGTCTCAGAGCCTCAGAGCCCTAAACCTTGGGCAAACAGAAAGGGGAGGCCCGGCCCCGGCTGGAAGGCTAATAACTGACCTGGGAATCCAGGGTACCCCCACCCTCAAGGGAGAGACGCTCCCTTGGAACAAAGGCAAGCGGAAGGCTCAAGAAACAACGACAAGGACAGCCCCCTTCCATTTCTCCCCCACTCGGGTACAGCAGGGCAGCAAATCTCTGGCGCGCGGATCCGCTGCCGGCCTCAGTGTCTCAAGCCAGCAGCTTAATCGCAGCGGAATTTATCTCGCTAATAAATTTAATGATCAATTCGTTCTTGTCACAGTAGCTCTTCCCCAAATCAATTATAGCAAATTTAAATATAATCACTGGCTCATCCTAGCTTACTCCGGGCAAGGCGCACATTCATTCCGCCTAACGAACTGCCGGAGGCCTCCTGGCGCGTGTGGAGGGCGGCGCCCCCACTCCAGGCTCTGCACTCGGGGTCACCGACTTGGCTGTGCCACCCGCAGGGGCTGCCTTGGGCCTCTCCTTACTCCACACTCTAGCCTCTGCGGCCCAGCCAGTTGGGGGTGGGGTGATGGTGGTTGAGGCTTTGCAGTCTCAAGATTTTGCTTCCCAGAATCAAGCCTGGTCTCCATAGTGGGCATCCTGATGTCGAGAGTTCAAGTTCCAAGCACCATACTCAGACATCCTCGGGGACTCAGCCCGCAGCCACGGCTGATCCTTCAACCTAAATGCGCTCTGTAGAACGAGGCTGCACCCCTCACTGTAAGGTCTGGGTCCAGTCCTTAGAGATGCCCCACTGAAAGGTGACCTGGACCCCAGCTCTATTCTCAACCTGAGAGTCTGACTCTGAATACTGAGTTCTTTAGCAGCTCCATAGAACCGTCCACGGGGGCCTTTGCCACCCTTGAGGCCAGTGAGAGACCACGGAGACAGGTCAATAATAGGTCTGGAGGCCTGGAGCAAGTAGAGAGTGGGGAGAGGCACCTGCTCTTTTCACATCAGCCCATCCCCGCAGTGTCAGTCCAGGTGGGAACCAGCTTGCAGAGGCAAGCTTATAACTTCATGGCCCCAAAGCACAGACGAGAACAAACAATAAAAACAACAATCACAACAAATCGGCAGATGGGAGTCCATCACTGGAAAAATTCAGAGCCATGAAGGACACAGTAAACAGAAAGGCCCATTTTGAAAAGACAGGAAAGACTTCCAGCCAATGGGTTAGCATAGAGAATAGAGAACTACAGTTTAGCAACAGCAAAACAAACAAACAAACAAAAAACAAACAAACGCAACTTAAGCCTCTCAGAGGTCTATGGCAGGCGCGGGGCGGCCAGGAAGAGAAGCAGCAGCAGGAGGAGAGGACTGCAAGTGTTGGGAGGACGCGGAGGGATTCGGCCTCTTGTGCCCTAGGTGGGAGCGCCGAGTGCTGCAGTCATTGTGGAAAACAATATGGAAGGGTCTCCAAGAAAACAAAAATAAAAACTGCGCTGGGAATGCAGCTCAGCAGCAGAGTGCATGCCTGGTATGTGTAAGGCCCTAAGTTCAATTCTCAGTGCTGCCAAACAAGATCAAACCAAACTAACACAAACTGACACAGCAGGCTCTGAAGGTGAAACAAGCACACTCATTTGTTTACAGCATTATTATTCAAAAAGGCAACAACTGGGAGCAACTTAGATGCTCAACTACAGGTGAATTCTAACAAAATCTTCACGCTGTGGAGGACAAAAGGAAGGCTCTGTCACAGGCCTCCCTCGGTCCAGGTATGCGCTGCCCTAGGAAAACAAAGCACCTCGGGGAAACAAATGCTATATGACTTCACCTGTATAGGCAACACTTAATTTTTAAAAAATGTATACGAAAGCCAGGCGGTGGCACACGCCTTTGGTTCCAGCACTTGAGACGCAGAGGCAGGTGGATCTCTGTGAGTTCCAGGACAGCCAAGGCTACACAGAGAAACCCTGTCTTGAAAAACAAAACAAAGTGCCTACATATGTCTCTGTGTTCATGTAAGCGCAGGTGCCCTTGGAAGGCAGAGGCACCAGCTCCAGATCCTAGGAGCTAGAGTCACAGGCCTTAAGGGGGTGTGGGCACCAAACTCAGGTCCTCCGTAAGGGCAGAAACCTCTCTTACCCACCACACCAACGGCATCATTTTAGACCTGTCAGAGAGTCTTTTGGTGGTTGGCAAGGGTGGAAGGAGAGTGTAGGGCCGAGGTTTCCAACCCGTGGGTCTCAACGGCCCTTTCACGGGGGCACATATCCTGCAACCCAGATGTTTACAGCTTCGTAACGGTAGGTTAGGGAGGTTACAGTTATGAAGTAGCAATGATAATTGTATGGCTGAGGGTCACCACAACATGCAGAACTGTGTTTATTAAAGGGCCGCAGCATTAGGAAGGTTGAGAGCCACGGATCCAGGGAGTTGTTCGCAGTAACAGAGCTTCAGTTCGGGGGGGGGGGGGATAAGAACGTTCTAGAGATCTGTTACCTGTAAGACGCATTTAGTTAACATTTTCGTACTGCCCACTTAGAAATGGTGGTGAGGAAGATGGGGGAGCGTGCCTGTCACCCCAGCACTACAGAGGATGGCCGACCTGAGCTAGTCTGGTGATGACGGTGGTGTCAGGAGCCTGTGATCCCACCGTTCTCAAGGCTCAGGCAGGAAGACAGCCAGGGGCCAAAGTGGGCAAGACCCCATCTAAAAAAAAGAGGTGAAGATGTGTTTCACGTTCTCACTCCCAGCCTCTGTATTCTTAATCCCCCCCCCCCCCCCCCACACACACACACACACACGCACGCTTCTCTGGTTGCCTTTCTCTTTTCTCTTACAAATGAAGGCAGGAATTCTGTAGAAGCAGCCGCCGCCAAACCCTTTGCTCTCCGTCCGCGTGGTCTGGAGCCCTGCCTTGTGCTTCAAGGTGGTTCCAATTGAAGGAGCCAGGGGTCCTCCCTATCCTCAGGGGTGCTGGGCCAGTTTGAGAGCGACCGGTCCTTAGAGCCAGTCCCAGGGCTAGCTCAGTGGGAACCCCTGGAAGGAGAGTGGCCCTGGAAGGCGGACTGGGGATGTTGGGGACCCTCTCGGAAGAGACTGGGAGCCGCCTCAGAAGCATCGCAAGGTGTGGGTGCCATGCTTCCGGTCCCCAGTATCAAAGTCCTGCGGAACTCTGAGTCTTCCTCAATAAAATTAACCCTCTGGAGGTGTGACCTGCGCTGAGAATGCCGCAGTGTTCGGACCGCGAGGGCGAATATGTTTTTCAGATTTGGGTTTTATGGTCGGATTAAAGTTT